CTGAAGTAAACATGACTAGAAGAAAGATAGATGCCATGAGGAGATTTCCAAGGAATGCCAAGAAGAATGCTAGAGAAGGTGAGGCAAGGATTTTTCCCCAGAGTGGATGGAGAAAGCCTTCCCCTAGGGCCAGTGCCCTAAATTCAGACTTCTAGCTTCCTAAACTTGAGAAATAAATTTGTTTGCTAAAGGAGCTCTAGTGGCATAGAGCCTAAGGCATTTGACTGCTAACCAGAGGCTGGTGGTTCAAACTCACCAGCAACTCACTCCTTGGAAGGAAGATTGGGCAGCTACTTCCATAGTGATACCCAAGGAGAGGTCGCCACGAGTTGGATCCAACTCGACGGCAGTGAGTTTGGTTTTGGTTTAAAGTCGTCTATTTCTGGTATTTCTGTTATAGCAGCACTAGGAAGCTAAGGCAAACACATACCATATGTCAGACACTATACTGGGGATTGTAGACACAAGTGAATAATAGGCAGTAGCCCCAAGGGATTTTGGTGATTTGTTGAACGTAGAAGGTGTCCAGGAGAGGCCTAGTTTTCTGGCTTAGGAACTTGAATGGCTGTTGGTATAATTCATTGAGACAGACTAGGGGTTCATCTCACAAGAAAAACTTTGGGCATGTTGGTTTTGAGGTGCTTGTGAGAAACCCAAGTGACATTGTTTAGACTGTTGGATACATGGCTCTAAAGCTCCTAAGAATGTCTGGGTCATAGGAATATATACTTGGACACTGTCAGGGTATAGCTAATGGAATTGAAGCAACAAGAGGAGATGAGACTGCCCAGGAGAGAGGAGGGTGTTGTGAGATGAGACGAAGGCCCAGGAACCAGCCCGAAGACACAAACGTAATTTTCTTTTAGCCTTTTATTTTGACTTAATTTCAGACTCACAGAATAGTAGCAAGACTTTTGGAAGTAGTTCCCATAAGCTCTTTACCCAGATTTCTCAAATATTAATTAATATTTCACCATATTTTAAATTATTTTCTCTCCATGTGCATATATATATTTTAGTTCTGAACCATTTGAGAGTAAGTTGCAGAAGTATTCTATTTTATCCCTAAATGCTTCAGTGTGTATTTCCTAAGAACAAGGCCTTTCTCTTTCATAATCATAGTGCAGTTATTAACCCACCAGGAAATTAACATTGTCAATACTTTTAACTAAGCCACAGACCTTTTTCAAGTTTAGCCAATTTCCCCAGTAATATCCTCTATAGCAAAAGGAAATCTTGGTTCTCATGTTACATTCAATTGTCAAGTCTCTGTAGTATCTTTTCATCTGGAGCAGTTCTTCAGTGTTTCTTTGTTATTCATGATATTGACATTTTGGGTAAGTACAGGTCAGTTATTTTGTGGAATGAAGCTTGACTTAGGTTAATCTGATGTTTCCTCATGATTAGGTTCAGGTTATCTAATGCATCTAATGAATCTTTGGTACGAACAGCCCAGAAGTGATGCCACGTCCTTCTCAGTGCATCCTATCAGGAAACACACAAAATTGATTCATCCTGTTGTCATTAACTTGTGTCACTTGCTTGATGTGGTGCTTGCCAGGCTCCTCCACTGTAAAGTTACCATTTTTTTCCTTTACAATTAATGAACATACATCCACAGTTAAAGGTCAAGTGGAGGAAGGAGCAGCCAGAGAGGGACAGGAAAACCGGGAGGAGATCTTGGACCCAGAAAGAATCTGCTTTAAGAAGGAGAGAGTACAGATAGTCAACATAGTTCAGTGGGGAGAACGGTAGATTGAAGATCTAAGAAGGACAGAGTGGTAAGTCACTCTGGTCCAGCGTTGCCAAGAGGCCAACCTGGAAGAGGGTGAAATGTGTCCATTAGATGCAGCAACTGCATGCAGGTCAGTGGGGATCTGACTGAGAGTACTTTAGGAAGCACGATGGGCATGTGGTGAGTTGAAATATGAAAGGGAAGGGAGGAATATAGACAATAAAGGAAAGCTCCTCTTTGGGGAGGCATTTGTCTGTGGTCTGGGGGAGAGAGAAAGAGATGGAGAGATGTGCAGGACCAGGGAGACGGTTTTCATAGATGGAAGAGACCTAAAGATATCCAGAGTTGTACAGGGTGGAGCCAATGGAGAGGTTAAAGTCCAGAGAGAGGAGAGCAAGTGATCATGAAAGGCTCTTGAGGAGTAAGAAGGTTATGGAGAAGGTCTTGGTGGATCTTCCCAAGCCCCTGGATGGAAGCAGGAGCTGGTGACAGCAGACTCTGGAGGTTCTGAGGGTGTGGTGGGGAGGGGTTGAGTCAAAGCCAAATATAATGGCATGTGTTTTCTCTGCTGAGGAGGTGGCCAGATATAGAGAGGGCCTGAACAATGATTGAAATGATCTCCAGGGAGAGGGAGAAGGAGGCAGGATGACCAGACGTGACTGTAGCTGCTGAGTGGAGCAGAGGCAAAGTCAAGGGTAAGTTCAGGGTTCTTGGGTACGTGATTGTCCCAACAATTTTTAGCTACCTTGTGCAGAGCAGGCAAGGCAGAGCTGGGTGAGTCAGGGTTGGGCTTTACCAGGAAAGAAGCTGGACAAGGAGGAAATTGAAGGCAGGAGGGAACTGAAGGGTAAGGAGAAAGTGTGGCATCAGCAAACGGAGATCTTGGTGAGAGCAAGAGCAGTAAAGAACAGGAAATGGTGCTCCAGGGGGAGCCATGTGATTAGTGCCAAGGGAGGTGGATGAGAAGTCCAGAATGTGCTGAGAGGGAGTTGTTATGTTAGTTGCTGTCAAGTCAGCCCCTGACTCATGGTGACCCCACACACAATGGGGTCATACTGTTATGACCCAAAATCATTGGCTGACTTTCAGAAGTAAATCACCTAGTAGGCTTCTCTTTCTAGCCTGTCTTATTCTAGAAGCTCCACTGAAACCCGATCAGCATCACAGCAACAAGAAAGCCTCCACTGACAGATAGTGCCTGCACAGCAGGGGCATTGCCCGGAACTGAACTGGAGACTGCATACAACGTGGGAATTTTATCACTAAACCACCACTGAGGGGAGGAAGTCTGGGGACTGAGAGGCCAGGGAAAGAGTGGGTGGCCCATGGAGAGGGTATACATCATCAGGGTTGCTGGGGGAGAAGACCATGAGCCAAGGCTCCCAGGATTTCGGGTGAGAGGCAGGTGGTAGCCCTGAGAAGATGAAGAGGGGCACACTTACATGGTGGGATTCTCAGAGAAGTGGTGCTCTAGATGGGGAAGGAGCACTGACTGGGTACCATGGGGGCCTGTGACCCACTCAAACTTGGACTCTGAGTTATAAGGGGGTGGGAATGATAGAACAGCCAGCTTGGGAGAGGCTGAGGGCCATCCTCAGGGCTGAGCCTGAGCCAGGTCCCTTCTAGAGCTGGGGGGAAGGGAGAGTTTGGAGTATAAGTGGGGAGACTTGTGACTTGCTGAGGTGTGGGGGTTCCTCAGTATCCCCATGAGAGCTGTGCACAAGGACAGTGAAGGGAGGGGGTCAGGGAGCTTCCTGTGGTAAAACCCAACAGACCAGGAAGGTGGGGCTCCCTGCCACTGATTTGGCTCTGATCAGTACTTGGGGATCATCAGATCTAGGGTCAGCAGGCCCACTGCTTCCTGTGGCCCCAGAATCAGAGGCTTGCCTGCCCTGTGGGCATGAGAGGGTGTGGGGAGGGTCTGCCACTTCTGGGGGAGCTGTCTTATGTTCTGAGCCATGTAGTGCCCCTGCACCTGGCTGCTCCATTGCTCCACGGCCTCATCGCACTTGCTGGTTGGAATGAGTCCAGAGCATGGTTAGGTTTTCATTAGATCAGAGGCTATTGTGGGAGCCCTGGATTGGAACAGGCACTTGTGTGCTGGTTCTGCCTCTGTTACTGAGGTAATGGAAGACTCGAGGCAAGTCCTTGCTCCTTTCGGGACCTCAATTTTCCTAAAGCCAGCAGTCACCTGCTTCCCAAGAAGGAAAACCCTTTTATCTGGTTGAGATCAAGTTCTCGGTCTGAGTTATGAAATGAGGGGGTGTGGGCAGGCTCCAGGGCGGAAAACCTCCTGGTGATTGAGTAAAGGAGTCTCCATTCCTTCAGGCTTGGGGCTCATTCATCAATCGGGGGCTGGGCATCTTCTTTATTCCTCAGTGTTTCCTCTCATACTCCCCATGTTCCCTCCCCCAGAGGGTCATCTTGGCCGTAGGCATAGAAACTGGCCTCTTGTGGCCTAAGTGCCACCCCTCTGTCTCTCTTTTACTTGCCTTCCATTCCCTGCTTGAAATGCCACCAGCAGGCGAGTGTTTGCTTGAGTTAGACTTGATTGAATCTGAGCCTGGGAAGGTGCTATCAGACGGTCACATCTTAGTGTGAAATAGTTTGTTCTATCCTTTGCCAAGGAAAAATAGACTTTGAGAGAAGGGAGGGCATGTTCACAGTCTGGAGAGATGGATAGGAGAGACAGAGGGCTAGAGATTCCCCAAGGGGGCTGTGCAGGCTTTAAGAACCCTTCTCCTATGACCTACCCACCTTTCCATCCCTCTCCTCACCATGACAGCACCCACAGCAGGTGAAGAGCTGTATCTGTCTGTGCTCCACCTCTCCCTTTTCCATCCTGTCCCAGGGTCCTGGGGCCCCTCAGGCTGTTTAGCTTAGCTAAAGGTGGGAAGGCAGTTGGGTTGAGTCTTAGAATTCTACCGCTGAGGTCCCAGCATAGAATTTCTACAACACAGCTCAGGTACCATGGCAACTGGGAGAAATAAACACTCTGGGGTTGACAGTCCAATTTCTGGTGTGATGTCATTCCCAGCTCCAGCCTGCTGGACCCCGCAGCTGGCTGTACCCCAGACAGCCCCAGCTGCTCCAGCCTGAGTACCGGCTTCCATCCCAACCCCTACCCAGTCCTTGGGGTGGGAAGAGAGAGTGATCGGAGGGGCTTGGGGCAGGAGGCCTCTGCACAGACCTCACACAGGCCCAGCTCTTTGCTGGCTGCTAGAATCCCACAGTAGGCGCTATCGCCTCCTCCCCAGCCCCAGCCATGAAACTACCCCAGGGAGCCAGGAAGTCTGTGTTCTACGGGCAGCACCCAGAGAAGAAGGTGCAGTTGCCTTCATGGCAGGAGATAAAGCAGACTCCTGTTATCATGGCCATGCTCAAAGGTGAGAGCAGCCCCTGCCCTGAGCTTAGGCTCATTCCCCTCTCTGCAGGGCTGTCAAGGGCTTCTTGGCCTGCCAGTCTTGCCTCCTGAAAAGTCCCCTCAGATTCTCTTCGAAGCCTAGAGCAGACCTGCACCTCCAAGCTGAGCCTCCAAGCTGAGCTAGAGGTTGCTGGGATTTTTCAGGGAGGTTGAGGAAGGCAGGAGATTGGGACTGGCGGAGACCAGCTTTGGAAAAAGGTTATAAACAACAGCCTTTAGCCTAATTTTAACTTTCCTCACTTCCCTTGAAACTTGCTCTCATTTGAAAGTGAACAAATGAATTTCTACTATGTTATTAACGACTGATAATTGCTCTAAGTGACTTAGTATAGTGATTACTTGCTGGGGCTTTGCTGACTGTCACAGAATGTTCATTTTACCAGCTTGTGATTTGGGACAAATTGATTATTTCTAAGCCTCAGTTTTCTCATCTGTCAGATGAGAAAAATAATAGTATCTACCTTCCAGGGTTGTTTATAAACCATATAAAATGTATCTACTGATAAGTCTTTTCTTTTTTAAATTTTTATTGTGATTCTGGTGAAAGTCTATAAAGCAGATTCATTTTCCATACAGCAGTTCATATGCATTTTGTTTCATGACATTGACTACAGTCCCCACAATGTAACACTCTCTTCCCACTTCCTCCCTGTAGTTACCTCTTCCCTGTGTCCCTCTTTCTTATACATTCCTGCCCCCTGAGCTGTCTCCCTGTACAAATACTGCCCTCCTACTCTCCCATGATTGATTGTGCTAAGGAGTGTTCCTACCTGCTATAAATGTTCACCCTACATGCCTGTCTTTTGTTTGGTTGGAAGCCACAGGAGTGAGTTCAATTCTAGGCCTGAAGGGCAATTAGGGGCCACAGTCTTGGGGGTTTCAGTAGGCTCTATCAGACCAGTTAGCCTGGTCTTTTTTTTTTTTTTTTTATGATTTTGAGTTTTGTTCCGCATTGTTCTCCCACTCCGTCCAGGATCTCCTGTTCTGTTCCCTTTCTAAGTCATGGACAGTGGTAGTGGGTACCATCTAGTTTTTCTGGTCTCATGGTCATATATAGGCTGAGGTTCACATGGTCCCTTGGACTAATTGTTTTCGTGTGTCTTTGGTTTTCTTCATTCTTCTTTGCTGTGGACTAGGAGAGACCAATTATTGCATCTAGATGGCCACTTGCAAGCCTTTAAGACACTAGTCGCTACTCACTGGTAGGATGTAGAACAAAGTTTTTGTGTAGTATGTTATGCCAATTGATCTTGATGTCCCCCATGACCATGGTCCTGAGTCCACAGGTCCAACAACTTACTCTCCCTCAGGGTAGTTGACTGTGGCTAAGAAATTATCACAATTTTAGTATGAAAAGAGTCTGTGATCAGCATGATGACATTGGAGAAAGGAAGGGCACTGAAACATGTACATGAGATGTAGACAACAGAAGCAAATAATAGTATCTGTACAATACTGCATTACCACTAACACCAAACACCAGGCTACAGATAGATGTACAGACAAGTGAGACCATGAAGTGGGGGTCAGCGAGCAGTAATATACCTTAGACCAAGGATAGATGTAGCTGAAGATAACCTTACATACGCACTTATGCTACAAAACTAGCCACAGACATTACAGAAACAATAGTAGACAGAGTTGGAGTAACCTCTCAGAGACAACCAAACACCTTGAGAGAGAGAATCACTAGGCCTGCTAACTTGAGACGATAGTCTCAGGGGACACCAAACTCAACAGGCACAACATAGTACATACAAATCTTGTTCCACAACCTTCTTTGGTGAGTAGTGACTAGGATCTTAAAAGCGTTCAAGCGGCCATCTAAGATGCAACTATTGGTCTCCTCTCATCTGAAGCAAAGAAGAATGAAGAAAATCAAAGGCATCTGGAAACAATTAGTCCAAAGATATGATGGATCCTGAGACCAGAAGAACTAGATGGTGCCTGCCTACCAATGCCAACTGCTCGGGAAGGGATCAAACCTGGAGATCCTGGGTAGAGTAAGAGGAAAAATGTGGAACAAAATCCAAAAGCACAAAAATGACCAGAATTATGGTCGGATAGAGTCCGGTGGAACCACCAAGATTGTGGCTCTGGGTTATCCTTTGGGCCTAGAATTGGACTCACTCCCATGGATTGGCCCTCAGCCCAACAGCAGAAAGACCTACATGCAGAATACCTATCCCAAGGTGATGCATCCACCTTCTCTAGGGAGATACATCCCTTAGAGCAATCGGCCATGGGGCGCCATTCACACAGAGGGAGAACTGGACAGGCAGGAGTGCATAGTTAAGAAGGGCACAGGGAGGGTTAGTCACAGGGACAAGAGGAGAGGAGAGTTTTTTTATGGTCAGGGATGGTAATCGGGGCATGAAATCAAATGTACATGAACTGTTGAATGTAAAACAAATTTTGCTCTGTAAATTTGCACCCAAAGCACAATAAAGTTAAAAAGAAAAAAGAAATTATCATAACTTTGCTCCCTGTTAGTTCTATTTATATGGACATACAGAGTAAGTTCTTAAGTAATTGTAGCTATTACTTTTATTGGAGTCCCTGGATGGCAAAAACAGTTAAACATGCAGATACTAACCTAAAGGTTGGTAGTTTGAGCCACCCAGAGGCACCTCAAAAGGAAGGCCTGGCAATCTGCTTCTGAAAGGTCTTGGCAATGAAAACCCTGCAGAGTACAGTTCTAACCTGTAACACGTGGGTCGCCAGGAATAGGAAGCAACTCAAAGGCAACTTTTTTTTTTTTAATGGCCCTTATTACAGGGCCTGTGGTGGTTCAGTAAGAACCTTGGTGGTACAGTGGTTAAAATGCTCAGTGGTGAACCAAAAGGTTGGCAGTTGGAACCCACCAGCTGATCCACAGGAGAAAGATGAACCAGTTTGCTTCCATAGAGATTTACACCCTTGAAAACCCTATTTAGGGGCAGTTCTACTCTGTCCTATAGGGTCCCTGTGAGTTGGAATCAACATCATGACAGTGGATTTGGTTTTTAGGTGGTTCAACGGTGAAATTCTTACCTTCTAAGCCAGAGATCTAGGTTTGATTCCCAGCCAGTGCACCTCACATGCAGCCACCACCCATCAGTGGAGGCTTGGGTGTTGCTATGAGGCTGAACAAGTTTTTAGTGGAGCTTCTAGATGATGGATCAGGAAGAAAAGTCTGGTGATCTGCTTCTGAAAGCAACCCATAAAAACCCTGTAGATCACAGTCTGAACACCATCCAATCACAGGGATGGTACAGGACCAGATAATGTTTCATTTCTGTTATGCATGTGGTTGCCATGCGTCAGGGCTGAACTTGATAGCAGCTAACAACAAGGTTATCTTTATTATTATGCACTGCCTGTCCAAGGGGAGCTCTGGTGGCCTAGTGCCTAAGGCATGTGACTGCTAACCAGAAGGCTGGCAGTTCAAACCCACCAGCCACTCCCTGGAAGGAAGGTTGGGCAATCTACTTCCATAGTGATACTGCTTTGAAAACCCAAGGAGGGGTTGCTATGAGTCAGATCCGACTCGACGGCAGTGTGTTTGGTTTGGTTTTGGTTTGTCCAAGGGAAATTGCATTTTATCTGGGAATAGTCTTTCCCTAAAAGAAGCAGCTCTGTTGTGGAGCTGTGGCAGTGGTACACTTGTGTGACATCGGCAGGAACAAATCTCCCAAGTAGTTTCATGGTGCATGGTGTCTGGGGCTTCCCTGCCTCTGATTCAGCAGGCCCAGGCTGAAGGCTCTCTTGTCCACCCTCCCAGGTCCAGGGCCCGCCAAGTACCTCCAGCCATCCTGCACAGGCTACTTAGAGCATGACATCTCCATGTTCCAGGAGCCGGCTTATACCCTGCACACCCGGCACTCAGAGAAGCGTGAGTGGTGGAGATGGGGAATTGTGAGGATAACTAGGGGGTAGTGAGAGGCATGGAGCCTTTCTCTGTAGCCACAGGCCCTGGGAATGGAGGCTTACCCCATACGGGACACCTGGGTGACCCCATGGGTCCAGAAGGAAACCAGCAGAGATGTCCAAGTGGCTCATTCCCTCTGAAGGCACCTTTGTGGACATCTCCCAGTAGACCTCCCTAGGAAGCTTTGAAGAGATGCTGCCACCATCTTCAGCTCTGGTCTCCATGTTCTGCTGGGCTCACTTGCCATAGTGGCCAGGCAGACCTAGCTGTGGGTTAGAGGGAGTGTTGGGCCCTCAGAGCTTCAAGAAGGTCTAGAATGCTGGAGGGTGGGGTAGGGAACAGGGGCTGCTGGCCAAAGCCTGGAGGAGGGGAGGCTGGTCAGGGGTGTGGAGCTGTGGATCTGAGAGCTCAGATGACAGCCAGGCCCCTTCCCCCATGGGGGGAATCCTCTGGCCGGGGCTGGGCCCCTTCATAATGCTAATCTGCAGTGGCTATTATTACCCCTTGGCACCAATCCCTGTTGGGGCAGGAGGTGACCAAGCTGCTGTGCAGCTGTTGTTTTATCTGTCACTGTGAACAAGTTCTTGAGAATGGCAGGCCATGTATTAAAAGTCCCATTTTACAGACGAGGAAATCAAGGGTCCTGGATACATGCAAGAGCCCTTGTTCCTTCATTATGGGGAGGGAGGATCTTGCTTAGAGGTAGGACAGGCTCACCCTGGGGTGGCCTCTGGGCTGACCAGCCTTCTTCTTGGCTTCCCTGCAGGGATTGCAGACATGTCCAGTCCTGGGCCTTGTTATTTCTTGGATCCCAAAATAACCAGATTTGGAATGTCCAGCTGCCCTCAGGTCCCCATGGAGGAGCGCATATCCAACCTCCGTAAGATGGAGCTGAGACTGGGGAGGGAGGTGAGGGGTGGAGGTGCTGGGGTTTATCCTTAGGACCCGAGAGTGGGGCAAAGGGTCATGACCCCTTCTCCAGGTGTATGTGTGGGTGCTGGCATCTCCCTGCAATGTCCCATCAGGAAACTGATGTCATGATGCTGATGTCACCATGAATGTGTCACAGTATGTCTTTAAGCCAAAGCTATTCTACTGTGTCCTATAGGATTGCTATGAATTGGAGTCAACTCAATGGGCAACAGGTTTGGTTTTTTATTTTGGTAGGTCACAAGAGGGATGTTATGATAAAAATGTCAGGGATCTCATGCTGTGGCAGTGACATTGTCATGCTGATAAGCTTATGGGACCACAGTGATCTTGGGATGTTCTTATCACCGGGATGATATCAGAATGCTAGAGCCCAAGGATAGTGTTATGATGATGCTTATGATTCATATATATGACAACAGGGTCACAATCATCCTGATATCAAGATGGCTAAGTCACCATCCAACTGTCCCTCCCTCTGCCCATAGCCTCATGTAGGAGTCAGTGCCCTTGCCCTGAGGCTGAGGTGGTCATACTGAAATCACTTTAGGCTAACCAAGACCTCAGCTCCTTACCTGGGCCCATTAGCTGGATACCAGAGGTATGGCCTGATCTTTGCCCTGACACCCCTTGCTTTGCCTCTTCCAGGTGTGAGCCCCACCCCAGCCCCCTGCCACTACTGCTTTGAGAAGGTCCACCCACCTGGGGAACGCAGGGCTCCCCAGTATGCTTTTGGCTACCGGTGCCCATACAGAGTGATGGACCCCAACCCAGCCCCCAACCAGTATCAGCTGCCACTCCTACTGGGGCCCAACAGCCCTGCCAACCAAGCTGCCCCCTGCTATAGCTTGGCCTCTCCGGACAAGAACTGGTTCTACAGGGAGGATGTGGCAGGAGGCCCAGGACCAGCCATGTACGCCCGGCCTGAGCCATCTGTCTACCAGCACCGCAGCCCCATCTACAGCATGGCTAAGCGCTTCGCCTACCCCGTGGACCACACACCCCGGCCTGGTCCCGGCTCCCATGACGTCCAAAAGGTCACTGTGCATAAGCCCCGCACACCTGCTTTCACCATGGGTGTCAAGCACTCACCCCACCTGTGCCCACTGGTTGTCCACATTTGTGACTGAGGACTCCCCCAGCAATACCTGTGCACTCACCTGCCCTGCCCTGCCCCACAGAACTTATTTTTCTATACCTGGCAGAACAACTTGACCAAGGTGTCGAGTAGCAGATTGGTGCCTGTTGAGTGTCCAGCAATGTTTTTATTTATAAATCTCTTTATTTTTCAAATACTCATGACTGCTTCCTCTGGGCTGTGTCCTGGGAGAAATTGCAAGTGTCCCTGGGCTCAAGGAGGTTTCACTAGGGGAGGCAGTAACGACACTCCAAGGAGCTCTGGGCAGGGACTCCTGAGAGCTGCATTCTAATCCTACCCACCCATTAACATGCTGTGTGACCTTGTGCAGCTCCCACCCCTCTCTGGGCCTCAGGGTGGCCCCCTGGGCATTGAGGGAGGTGGTCTGGAGGAGGCCTAAGTTACTCTTTGGCTCCATAACTGTGAGACTCTGACAGTGGTCAGTGTTCAAGCAGGGCAACTGGGAGAGGCCATTCTGGTTGGAAAGGGGAGTAGTTATGAGGGGGCTCTTAGGGGAGGGAATAGAAAAAGTAGAGGTGATAAAAGCAACTGGGAGAGCAAAGGTATGCAAGTGGGGCCACAGTGTGCAGGAACAGGATACTGGAGAAAGCTTAGGTGGCAGGAGCCTGGGGTACGAGAGGCTGGGTGGGTAGCTGGGGTCAGGTCGTGAGCAGCCTGCAGGGGACTCAGGCTTTGTCGTGAGGGTGATGGGCTGGATAAGACCAGTGTTTCTAGTTTTTCAATGTTTTGGGCAGTGAGAGAAGTTTGGACAGGAGGAGGCAGAATCTAGGGAGGTTGTGAAGGGACTGGAGCAGGCTGTAGGCCCTGGAAGAGGTCACCTGCATGTCACCTGCTGTCTTTGGAGAGTTGCTTGTATGTCCACCAGCTCAGTGGCTTACCCTGGCAGTGCCCATTGTAGGAGGGGAGCCAAGAACTAGCCAGGAGAGGGCAGCATTGCCCCACTTGTTGGGGTTCAGAGCTTCCAACAAACACGCCACCCCAGCCTCCCTCCAGCTTCAGTGTCTGATGCTTTCTGGGCAGATCAGACAGACAGACAATCCCCCCCACTCCCAATTTTCCTGTAGGGCTCTTGAGGGGAGGATAAGGTCTCAGGGGAAGCTGGAGTTTCTGTGATTGGTATTTGTCCTTCTTTAATTCTTAGCATCCATAGCCCCAATTCCAGCTCCCTGGCCCCTGTGTCCACCCTCTCTCCATGCTCCCAAGGCCACAGGTAGGTGGGAAGGATCCTACCTGTGCCACCACAGTTAGATGAGGAAGGGGCATGTAGCTGAGGACAGATCTGAGGCTGGGAGGGAAGAGGGAAACAAAGAAGGAGAGGGGCTTAGAAGGGGAGAAAGGGGGCTGGAAGGGCCCTGGGACCCCATGGCTCAAACAGAGGCATTTTCTTCCCCCACCACTGCCCCAAGAATGGAAGGAAACAAGAAAAAAAGGCCACTTAGAACCAAAATGGTGTCTGTTGGCTGATTCTTAACAAATTTGCATAATATTCAGGTTTTAATTGAAAATGAAAATTGAGTTGATGATTTAACTTTGGACAGAAAGGAGCAGAGACTATCTTTGGGATATTAAAACAAAAACAATAACAACAAAGTATTTAAGAAAGCAGCTTCATGGAAAATCCCATACCTGATTCCGGGCCTGGAATGAATCCCTGTGGCCCCCCACCCCCCCGCGTCAGGTCTCGGCAATTGTGTCTGTCCTGTTGTCCCCATCTTCTCAACAAGGCTGGCCTGGGCAGGCTCTCCAGAGAGTGAGTCAGCTTGGGGACCCATCTGTCTTGCAGCAGATTAGAAAGATGTCATTTTGCCGACCATGCCATTTATCACGGCAGCTGCAAAAATTAGTGATGCTTGGGCTGAACGTGTCGGGTGGAGGTGGGGGCTGGCAGATAGCAGCAACCAATGCTCCCCCATGTCACCAGGTCAGGGGAGTGGCAGACCAACCTCTGGACAGTTCCTCCTCTGAACAGGGTACAGGAGCGTCTGGCCTACTCCACAGAGAAGATGAGAAAACGGAGGCCAGATTCTGGAAATAACTTTGTCCGTAGTCATATAATAAATAAAATGCTTATTTCTAAATAATAGCCAAAGCTCAGTCTGTGACCAGGGTCAAAGCTCAGTCTGTGACCAGGGCTGGAGATCAGTATGTGACCAGGGTCAGGGTTCAGTCTGTGACCAGGGTCGGGGCTAAGTATATGACCAGGATCAAGGTTCAGTCTGTGCCCAGCTTTAGGGCTCAGTGTATGATATGGTCAGGGCTCAGTCTGGGTTGAGAGCCTTGACCAATATCAGGACTAAATCTTATTTATTTCCATGGCTCAGACTGGCCCTGGCTGCCACCTGATGTGGGTAGAGCCTGGAAGCTATCCCTGGAACCAGAACTAACCCTTGGTGTATGTTTGTGGTCTCTGTCATTCTTTGTGGTCCCAAGGGAAGGAGAAAAGTTTCAAGATAAATCTTTGGGGGATGAAGATGTTTTGATAAGAAATGGCCCTGCCAAGAAGGGGAAGAAGAGTGGGGCTTCCCTTGTGCCTCAGCCTATAAAATGACAGGGTCATCTAGCTTTGAAATAACCTTAGAAAGAGAAGCCTCTGTCCCTTGGCCTTGCCTCCTCTATGATGCTGCCCCTGGACAGGAGACCTGCAGAAGGCCAGAAGGGGACGGCTTCCCAGGCCTGGCTAAGTAGTGACTTGATTCTTGTGAACAATATATGAGGTCCAAGCTTGACCCAGCAGGAAGCCCTGGTCTTCTCCTTGTTGAACTTAAACCTGTGCCCTTAGGTAAGTAGGCCCTAGCACCTGTTACTTGGTCACGTGGACATGACAAACATTTGCAGAGCGCTTGTCCCACACCAGCTTCTGCTCTGCAAGAGCTCAGAGGCAGCTGGGTGGGAGGGCCACAAGCAGGTCTCTTCAACCACAAGCAAACACTGGAGGGTGGATGAGGCTCAGTTCATAGCCTGGTGCTTACCTAGAGCCCTCGGCTTCTTGTTGGGCCACAGAAGAAGTTTGGCCTCTTGATTGGGCCACTTCAACAGGGGCTTGGTGGTGAAAATGCAGTCATACAATCCTCCTGGACACTGGGAGTGGGGTTGGTCTCTGCTATCCTGCTGTTGCTGGACAGATCATGTTCCCTGCACCCCTCCCTGAAGGTCAGTCATTGCTGTGACTTACAGGAACTGGGGACAGGGTGGGAGATTGGGGTGGAGGTGCCTCCTCCTCTTGGCCCTTGGAAGGAACAAAAGAGGGGCCCTACATGTTTGTGTCCCTCAACCCCAGGGACCCATGGACACGTCATACATAGGCATCTGGGTGGGGATTGTGTATAAGCATACCCCCACATACACATCTCTTATTTACCCTCCATACACTTGGAGACAAGACACACAAACATACACATAGAATCAGATGCCGTACCTTACTCTACACACACTCGCCTAATGCTATGTACACAGAGACATACTCAAATACATGCATCATACTATACATACAGGGCAAAATACACAGACACAGACACACCACATATGCACACAGACACCACACTGTACACTACCTGCATACACCATTTACTATACGCACACACACCTTTTCCTCCCCTGCACTTCTTCCTTCATCAAAAAAACCCAAAACAACTCATAGTGACCCTTCCTTGGGTTTCCAAGGCAGTATCACTACAGAAGTAGATTGACCTGTCTTCCTTCTGAGGAGTGGCTGGTGGGTTTGAACCACCAGCCTTCTGGTTAGCAGTCAACTGCCTTAGGCACTGTTGTTGTTGTTGTTATTTGCCATCGAGTCGGCCCCAACTCATAGCGACCCCTCCTTGGGTTTCCGAGGCAGTATCACTACAGAAGTAGGAATGCCCAACCTTCCTTCCGAGGAGTGGCACTAGGCCACCAGAATTCTTTCCTTCATGCATATCCCCATATCCAGTCAGGCTCACTATATCCCCTGCTGTCCTGCAGAAATGTGCAGACCGTGAGAATGTCCCCCTCCTCCCACACAGAGATGCAATGAACCATGGGGAAGGGAGGCCTGGAGGGTCTCATGAAGGAGTTGGGGTGTGATTTGCACCCAGCCCCTGGATTAGAGGAGCCACTGGCTAGCTCTCAGCCATCAGTCTGGGGCCCCATCTCAGGGCAGGATAAATTTGACTGCCGGGAGGGGTGGTGTCAACTCCCCTCCCCCTGGCCCCAGCACTCAGACATCCCAAGGACAGGAGGGCTGGTATAGGATTTCTGATCCAGCTCTTCTGTTGAGAGCATGACCCCTTAATTCCTAGTGGCAGGCAAAAGGGGCAGCTCCATGCTCACTGGGGGTGGAGGGTTCACCCTCTCCTCCTTTACCTTTCTCTTCCTCCTTGTCCTTGTCCTCCCATCTGTCTTTTCTCTCCCTCTGGTTCTTTCTCCCCATCTCTGGCTCACGCTGGTGCGTTCCTCCCCCCCCCCCATGCTCCCTGTGTCCCTCTGCCCTGTTTATCCTCTAGAATAAAGATCGACATTTTCAATTACCCCCCAAATAACAGAGCCATTCTTGGAGGCTCGGAGGAGAGGAAGATTGTGTGTGTGTGTGTGCGTGCACGAGTGTGTGTGCATGTGCTTGTTTGTGCATGTGGGCCTATGGATGGGTGTGGAAGGGGGTGGGTGCACCCACAGCCCCACTGTCCTTTGTCTGCTTTTCCTCTTCTGGAGCCTTCGTTTCTTCCTGGGAGATTGTGAGCACGTTTCCTTTCAGGGGAGGAAGGGAGACAAAAGGGAGAAATAAAAAAAAAACATCATTGTTGTCTTATAAACACAGTGTGTAGTGCCGAGCGGGGGTGCGGGGGGGAGGCTCAGCAGGAAAGAGGCACTGAGGGAGAGGCAAGGACAGAGAAAGGAAGGCTGAGAGAGAAGTGGGTAAGAAACAACGAGGGGAGAAAGAGAAGGAGGCGGGGAGAAAAGATGAACAGAGATGAGCAGAAGCCACTGTCTCAAGGC